AAGAAAAAAAGGTTGGCTTTTTGAGGAAGGATATCTGTACAGGTGAGGTAAATTTGTAGGCTGTGTCTGAAATTATAGGACCTCATTTATTTGGCATGTACAGAATACATAATCAATAATATTATTTTAAGCCCCTCTTTTACCTTATATAGGATATGTGGGTTTTTTAATGAATTTATAGTAAGCTGGAGAACTGGAGAGAACTGCAAAAAAGTTACATAATCCCATCTATAATAAAATGAGATAAATGAGGAAATTCTTCCATTCTGTTCCTGGCTAGTGATATGTACCAAAAATAGGCTTCACGATGGTAGTGAACCACTGATGTCAAAGGCACAAAGTTGAAAGATTTGAAACTCAACAAGCTCAGGACCATTAGGTAACTGCAGTGAAAGCAGAGTTGCTTGTTGAAAGTTCAGGAAGCAATTCTTCACCATCTGTGGGTAAAAATTATGCCTAAGACAGTCTAGTTACTAGTATGTGAAAAAATGCATTTTCCTACTCTGTGCACCATATTCTGCCCTCTGTTTCAAAGACACTCAAGTGAGCATCTACATTCCCAGTAGTACAATTCTCATCTTCCTAGGATGCAATCCTACTCCAGTAGCAACTCATGGCAAAATTCCCATTAATTTTAATAGAATAGAACTTCAGTCCTAGTGAGTTCATTGCTTTCACTTAGGCTAGAATTTGGTGCTTTGACTTCATTGTGCACTAGAGGGCAACATTCGGCTCTGGTGCTAACCCTGCTTATTGCTAGCTATTGCTAGCTTTGTTGGTAATCCTAGTTGGCAATGAGAAGAATATGTGATGGAAAGACTTTGAATTACGAAATTTGTTCTTTTCTAAAGTTAGTGCAACTTGGTGGAAGGCATATCTCCCTGCCCATTATTAAGGATTTGGAAGGATAAACTGTTATGGCATGGTTGCACACAGATTCTTGAAGCAAGCAATATACATGGACTTTCTACCTTCAAGTACAATACCAAAACCAGTTTTTAAAACCCTACTTTCTGATCTTTTTGCACTTCATTTATCTAAGTAAAATTATTTCTATGGAGCAACAGAAGCAACTTTACCATCACAGTGTTGTAGCTCTCATCAGGCATCAGTATACCATTTGATTGTAATAAAACATCTAAGCAGTTTCAATAGCTTGATAAATGTACACATATAATAAAGAAGGGGGAAGAGTCTTGCTCTCTGTGCAGCAGAATGAATCCCATTCCCTTCTTTTCCTTATAAGCAAATGCTTCTTCTGATTCCTTACAAATATGTGGACTGTTGAAATTGATAAACATTATTATTACTGCTTTTAGTACACGTGGCAATGATCCTTCTCTTTCATATACATTTTGAATGGCTTAACAAATTCTGAGCTTTCGTGCGCGGCATAGCATGTCGCCAGTGCTTTTGACTCATTCTGGCTTGCTTTGGGTTTCCAGGGTACAGCTTTGTGCTATAAAACTGGTTCTACAAGAGTCTATGATGGGATACAAAAGATGAATGTATAAGCTATTAGCTATGGCCACTCTACAGTATCATTTCTTAGGTCATGAAAAAATTAAGTTTGTACACAGCCTGAGGACCAAATTTGAGGTGGCATTTGCCATGTGTTTTGCTCTTATTAGGCTATTTTTTCAAAACAAAACAAAAGCAGGAACGTCTGGGAGCGCCAAGCCATATCTGGACCATAGTGGGGTGGGAAACAGTTTTTAACCCTTTACCCCACAGCAGTCCTTATCCTCAGACCCTCTCCATGCCTATACTTCATAGTGGGATAAAATCTCCTATTTATTTATTTGATGCCAATAGCAACTTTCCTGCAACTGTGAATAGCAGGTGTGGAGAGATAATCAGTGGAGGATGGCTGATTGGGACAGTGGCCGTGGCAAAGGCTTAATTCCCACCCATGGACCTGATCTGGCTCTCCCCAAATCCCAGCTATTTGGTTTTTTTTAAAATCACCCATTTAAGAATAAGGTGCCTTATTTGGCCCTTAAATACATTTGATAGATTCCAGAAAGACTGAAAATGAATACAGACATGTGTGTCTGCTTAGTCAAAACAGAAAGGTCCTATGAATGAGTTGACTTGTTTCTAGCTTGCTCTATTGAAATTTCAAGTTCTTGTCAGTTCAGAGGTCATCGTGAACATATTTTTACTAACCTATGTATGCATCCAAGGTATGACCATGTTATTACTCAAACTACTTGTGCCTTTTCATTTTAATCTACTATTTTCCTCCTTCTCTGTGGTGTCAATCTTTAATTACAGATTTATTCCAGGTCCATTTGGTTCCTAGAAACGCTGGAGACCACCATAACACTCATTTTAATGTTTCACTGTGAATCTTGTGGGGCCGGTATTGACTGATATCACCCAGTTTTGACTTCCTGTACTCTTTCTTCCTTTCTAAATGTACTAGGCTCTCTGCTAATGGGATAACGTGGAAAGGTCCCCCTCCATGTTTTAAGCATCCAGTTGTCAAATAAGCCTGTGTTCCATAGTGTGCATGGAATTTCCCTTGTGTACTTCAAAAATGTATTTGTGTTGTTCTAACTCCACATCCTCTTCCTTTCCCCCCGCCACAAGACACCCAACCAGCACATCCCAATATTTTGACATATAAATCAGATAGAAAGATTTTCAATCTCAAGATCTGTAGCTGGAGTGCACTACAGAAGGGAATCCTTGGTCATTGTTTGGCCCAGATATGGGTCTTATCCACTTTTCTCTTAAGATTCTCAAACCTGGTCTGGTTATTGCCAGTGGTAGAATCTATTGCTATTCCTCAACCCATTCCCCTCCTTTCTTTTAAGTTTCCTGGGAACTCAGCTTCACATTTTACTCATGACCTGATCTTCCCAGTGCTAAGAATAGTAACCACTGTGCCACTTAGGTTCAATCTCTTTGAAAACACGCCACAGCTGGAGAAACATGGAAGCCAGATTAGCACAAACAGATATAAACAACCAGAGGTTAGATTTATTAAGACTATAAAAAAGTCTAAATATCATTGTGGAACAGATAAGTGAGGAAAGGATTTTTGCATGCCCTGCAAAAGTCTTGGGAAATAATTTGCAATCAATTACCATGTTTTTGATTTTTTTTTGAAAGGAGGCAAACCAACTCTCAGGACACAGAAGGGACACAATCTTAAATTCACAACGCGGCTTTAACCAACTTATTTATAAATTGCCACAAGAAGAGTGAGGATCACTCAGTAGAGTAATAGATAGGTTAAAATACACATTCATTATGTAACATATTTGGTTGAATGATGATAGCTGTTCGGGGGAGAAACAAGAGCTGGATAGGGCTTTTGAAGGCCTATCAGCAGTTGGCAATTATGCTATTTTTGCATAATTACCTTGGCTCTTTATCCAGTCCAGCCTGCTCTATCTCTAGGAGATGGATGATTTGTGTCAACCATATCTGTCTTATGTATTCTCTTTTACCCTAATGTGATCCTGATGCTTATCAGCTGTTAGCTAACCTTGGCCTCCATTGTTAAGCTCCTAATCTTAAAATAAGGAATACTACCACTCAGGTTCTACATGCTGAATGGATTATTTTAGAGCTATATACATATAGCTGTGGGAGCATATGTGTCTGCTATGAATGCTGCCCTATTTCATGACAGTGAAAGTCAGTGGAGGGCACAGAATAAGGAAGGGTCAAAATTAGAAATGTTTCACTAAAAAGTTTTCTTGTATGTTAGCTACTATGTGGGAGCCATTTCCCCCATAGTGCAACAAGTGTACAAGAATATGTGTATGAAGGTATCACATGTAGTTCCTTCCCATTCAAACTTCATCCAGGTGGCATCTCTTCAGAGAGTAAGCAGGTCCCACACTATAGTGTCTAAATGTAGATAAACCTTAGTCTCACCAGAATGCAGCACCTGGTTTAAAAAGAACCAAGGCATGTCTCTCTTTTCATGTTGCTAAGCTACATCTGCTCTTGTCTTAGTTCTACCATGTTCCACTGAAACTTTAAATACTGTACAGACCTGTTGGCTGTGTGTACAAAATGAATTCATAATGAAGTCTGAAGGGGGGGAAATGGCAGAACAAGGGAAGATGCAGCAGAACTAGAGGGAAGGGCTACTTCATGCAATTCAGAACCCAAGAACTATTCATCCTACAACAAACACACATGCAGGTAGTCCTTACATAAACACTCAATACCTTTGATTTCAATTGGATTGCTTATTTGAGTAATGCCAACATGTGTGGTTGTGTAAGAAAACTTATTCTCTAGCTACTCTTCTATAACCACTTGAGGACACCAGGGCAGTAATTCTAATGCCGATTTTTGAACTGTTTTTTTGTCTGTCTAACATTCCTTTTTAATCCCCATCCTGCCTGCCCCTTCCTTATGTAGGGTTACTTTAGTGATCCTTGGAATGTTTTTGACTTCCTCATCGTAATTGGCAGCATAATAGACGTCATTCTCAGTGAAACTAATGTGAGTATTACTCTACCCTCCCTAGGATGCCACCAAATCCTCCTCTACTTCCTCCTCCTGTTTCCTTCTTTTTTATTATTTCTGGTTTATGTTTCTTCCCTCTAGTCATGCTTTTATTGAACTTGCCGTCGTCCTTCTCCCAGGGGGAAAAAAAGGAGGGGGGTTGCATACCTCCTTCTTTTTCACTTGTCACAGCTGTGACCGGTGAAAGCACACAAAGCTTGGGGTACGTGTGCTTTTTTTCCCTCCAAAAAAATTCAGACATGTTTGAGTGAAACGTTCTAACTAACCAGGCTTTTGTTGATACCCTCCATCATGTTACAGAGGTATGAGCAGCCAATACTGTAGAGTGGTAAGAGACTCTTTAATATGCCCACGTAACCTCTTTCTTTTCTTATTTTTTTCTCTTCTCTCCCTCTTTCATGCTTTGTTTATTTATTTTGTTTGTTTATTTTTATATATCTCTCTCTCCCTTTCTCTTCTCTTTGTTTCTTTCTCTTTTTCCTCGGCTTCTCTGCCACATGCAGCACTATTTCTGTGATGCATGGAATACATTTGACGCCTTGATTGTTGTGGGTAGCATTGTTGATATAGCAATCACCGAGGTGAACGTAAGTAGCTGGCATCTGTCCATGAATGTGCCTGCTCTTAACATTCATTTGTCTCTTCCAGTTTTTTTAATCTCTTCTTCTTTTATTCTCTCCCTTCTTTTCCCCTCCCTTTTTATTTGAAGTTTTTTTTTTAAGGATTGCTTTTGCTCTGTTGTTCTGGATATTTTGTTTTTGCTTGTTTCTTTAAATTTGGAACAACTTTGAGGACTTTCTGACTGTTGCATCATTTTCTTTCCCCCATAACCAGCCTGGCATGAATAAAAACTGTATAGTAGGAAAACCGATGAGAACTATGTGAAGTAAATGCACAAAGAGCAGGTTTGTGTCCTAGGAAGTTGGAGAAGTACCGGTAGTCCAAGTTTAGGACTCCTGATTTGTCAAAGTTGAGTTAAACTTTCCATGGCACTGGGATACTTGCCACTTCACAGAGATCTACAGGGCAACTCTTTCGAGGTGGAATAATGGGAGCCAAATGTCATCTGTTTTCTGCTAGGCCTTTATATTCCCAACTTTTTATTCAAAAACCACAAATTCTTACAAGTCTGCTCACATTCTATGATATATTTGGTGGGTTGGATCCAGAGTAATTTAGTGATGCTTTAGTCTGACTGAAATCAATGAGGCTTGACATGTTATTGTTACCAATTCATCTCACTGATTTCATATTGACTAAATGTGACTAATTTAGCCTGGATCAAACCCTGTGTATCATGTTAATTGATGCAGTTTTATCTCCCTATTATTTGTGGAAAAGCTGCCAGGATAGTGTAGAGAGGAACATTGCATAAAAACCATTACATCCAATAGGTTTGATTAATTTTGGCATTTCAAAACCTGCCGTCATGAATTGGTATTCCTTTCAGAAATAAATACAAATGACTGAATTAAGTTCATGGTTTTTAAAAAGGAAAAAATCTTATTAGAGAAATTATAGATTTGAAACCCAGTCTTCTGAATTATATATATACATATATATACAAAGTAAATATCTGGTATTTGGAGAAGAATTTGTACTGGGCATTTAAGTAAATAACATTGGATAGAGAGAAAATCCCAGTCCATTTAAGGCAATAATCTTATGGAATAAGGATTTTGCTGATAAATAGCCCTCTGAATTGGTGTATGTGTAGCATGAGATTTAAAAATCTCACTTCTAGAACCTAGGCCACACACGGTCATCCATGCTAGACTGGAGGAATGCATGCATCCATCAGCCGCTGGTTGGCATGGTTAGTTTGCTTCAAGCTAAGTATTTTTTAGGGATCCATGGGGCCTTTCTCCCTATCACATCCAAGGGAGGATTGTGCACCAATAAGAGGGATGATGTAAACCACTGGTTTGACCTGTGGTCTTGGAGATCTTCACCAAAGATGCTGAAGGATTCTATGTAGTGACACATCATAAGCGGGTGTGATTGCATACATTATATCCAGGTAACTATGTTAGATAGATTTCTTTAGGGCATATCTCACAACTATACTACTTTCCCAGTAAATTGTGGAGTTGATATTCAGGGAATGGAAGACATTTTTGGTAATTTTAATTAAGCTGATCTCAGTTCCAGATCAAATTCTGATCAGGAATTGAGATCAGATAAGTAAGATTCATCAACCACATCTTCCACTTTCCATTGGTCAGCTCTGTTGTTTATCAGGAAAACAGGACTTTCAGGTTATGGTTAATTCTGTTCTCAATATTAATTGGCTGATACTGAGAATTGAAATAATGTGATTAAATAGGATCGATCTCAGTAAAACTTTAAGTTCAGCAGTTATTTATATATAGTTGAAGAACTGCCTAGAGCTGTCCTCTGCAGAGATTCTCCCAAAAATTTAAAGGTGGCATTGATGGTTCTCTGAATCCCCTCTAAAGATTACCCTCCTACTATATAGTCCCTTCAAAATTCTGCACCTATTACCTGGCATGTTTGACTCTTCTCTTTTTAATCTTTGCTATTAATTCCTAACATTTGTTATTAAGAAATTAATTGGTTTTGATTTTTCTTTCCTTTTTAATTTTTTTTTTTTTGCACAATATCTGATGCACTGATAATTGAAAATCAGTTAAGGATGGAGTTTGTTTTGAATTGTTTGAAATCCTCTTGCACATAATTCTGTTAACTAAGAGAATGAATGGTACCGTACATCAATTTATTCATTTAAAATACCCTTGCTGCTTGCGACATTTGGTATGAAATCCTGCAACCTCCACTCCCACCCCCAGCAGGCAGGCATTAATCATTGCAGCTCAAATTGAAATATTTTCCTCTTCCCAGGCAGCACAAAATGGTTTGTGGATCAGTTGCACCTCCACTTCACCCTCCCTACCATGGGAGCTTCATTGCTTTGCTCACTGTTTGTGAGCCTGACAAAATCTGCCTTGTGTGCCTGTATGCTGTCTCATTTTACATCAACTGATCTGGAAGCATGGCAGGTAGAGAAGAGGAATAAAACTTCCCACAAGCTCTATGTGATGGTAGATTTTAAAATGACTTCAAAACCAGGCATCATATGGTAGAATCCAGATCCAAAGCAATTGGAAAAATGAGTTTGCTGTAGACAACCAGTGGCTGCTACACTAAGAACAAATCGTAATGCTGAGATTTGTTCTCTATTGAAGGTGAATCTTTTTTGGCATGAGTTACTTTGTCATAAAAGGTGATGGATGCATTAAACAGGAACATTCTGTGAAGTCCAGCTGGGACTTTGCCACGCTGATCTAATCTGCCTAGGAAGCATTTGGTCACCAAAGCAATACAAGGCGATAAACAAAACACAAATATATTACGTTAGCTTGTGTGTGTATGTGTGCGCACGCGCATGTGTGTTGTGTGACAGAGAGAGAAAGAGCACTTATCTGTATGGTATAAGCTGGATTTATTTTCTTAACTAAAAACATATAGCATAGGAAGGCCATGAAGGATATAATGGATGCTTCTACATGGCAGGTTTTTTTGTGGAAGCGTCCAATACTTCTGAGCAAGAGAAGTAATCCATTCTGAAGCCTGGGAACAAAAAGCAATACTGATTGGAAAGAACCTAGGAAAGGGGAGAATTTAGCTCCAAATCCTCATGAAACTTAATATTTCTCTCATCTCAAATTCAGTAGTGTGTTAATTATTTCATGCATGGAGATAAAGCCGCAACAATCCTGACTTATGCAATCTCTGTCGGAAACTATATAGAATTCACTGGATATAAAACTAAGTGTGAAGACAAAGCAAAATAAGGAATGTAACCTGTTTCATGGTTCTGACTCCTTTCTCCAGTCAAGTTCCAATGCCGATTGAAAGTTGTTTGTCTGATCAGTATTTGATGCAGTACTAAAAGAACATCAGTCAAGAATGGAGATCATTCTGCAATAACTACAGCTTTCAGCTCCTGAAGCACAAAGTCAGAATTTTGGAAATATCAGGACAACTGCAGTCCTCTAAGAGACTGAAAGTCAGGAAGCACAATTTGAAAATTACAAGGTGCTGACAAGGAAAATCCTCCGCTGATGGCAATTTGCTATGGAACAATTGAGTAGGAAGAATATTATCCAAAACGAAATATGGATGAGACTGCAAAAGAGGGAAAACAAAAAAATAGTAGTCCATAGCAGCAGGTGCAGAAAACAATGCAAAGGTGCTGGGCTATGAAGCTAAGCAATGTCTGGCCAGAATCTGGATGATAGATTGTCTAGGAACTCCATGTATTCCTTGAAATAAGGGTGTGACACAAATTAAACAAATATGAACTACTAAAAGAAATGAACATTACAAAATTATCTGGAAGACTGACAAGAAATCCTACCACATAGGGTTTTTTGGGTGAAAATAGAAAGTTGCTAGTTACTGGGGGGTGCGGTGGAAATTTGTGTTCCTTTTTAAGCACAGAAGGTTTTCTGGCCACAGCATAAAACTGTACCAGATAATATCAACTACTGAGATTTATGAGCTTTTTTGGAAATGCATTTTTTTATCATAGTTGCATAGGTTTAGAGTTGAATTTACTGTGTGTGTTTGTAGTGAGTCAATTTTTGTATTTCTGATTGGTGGTGGTTTGTGTGTTTGTGCGTGAATGACTTTAAGCACATTTTATCCATTGTGCTTTTCAGGATGTTTTAGGGTTTGAACCCATTTACCCAGTCACACACTTTTTTATATATCTAAGTGCAGGTGTATCTCTTAGGGCTTGTGCACACATTAACTTTTACCCCTTGGTTGCTGTACCAAGAGGGTAACTGTTTTGTTTACCTCTAGGTAGCAGCAGGCTAGCTCTAAGCAGTGCCTAGAGCTAATTCACTAGAGGTAAGTGTGGATCCATCAGGGGAAATACAGGCTACATGGGACAGGTGGCATCTACCCTGGGTAGATAATGTGTGCACAAGCCTTAAAAGGATCATTGAGCTTGTGTGTGGATGCTTACACCCAAGTGCCTAAATATCTTGGCATGTATCTCTGCTTGCTTAAGAGATGGAAATGCATGGGTATGCATGCTATGTGCATGTTTACTAGCATGTTTCTGTGATTGTGCTTGGCAGTGCCAAGGTGTGAACACATGGGACCACTCCTAAGGCTACCTTAACATAACACTGTCCCCATAACCACAAACTTCCACTGAAATCACTGCAGTGTCACGATTATTTCAACACTAGGTTATGATATACTATTTTTCAAGGTGTAGTTCTCTGAGTAAACCGTAGCACTCACTAGAGGGTGTGCCATCTTAATTGCACCTCTCAGAACTTTAGTGATACATGTCTAATAACTGGACACATCAGACATCTCAGTTTAACAATCTTGTATTTTTATTTTTTGCATTAAAAGCCATGGCATATTTTCTACCAAATTCGTTTTTAAATCGGCTTGCTTTCAAGCCTGCCTCATTTATTATTATTTTTCAGGGGTTTGCATACAAAATTTTCAGTCTGATCCTATGCACCCTTATTTGGGTGTCCCACTGAACCCACTGGGAGTTCCTTCTAAGTAAGCGTATACAAGATCACACTGTTACATC